GAGCCGGAGCGCAACGCGAGCGCCCGCCTAGCCGAGCCGAACCGCGCCGCACGCGCGCCCGTCCCGGTCCCTGTCCCCTGCGGCCGCAGCCGCCAACGCCGCCCGGACTGGACCGCTGACATTACTGCACTCGCGGGGCTCACGGCAGCCGGGATCTGGGCCTTTATTTCTCACCGGCAGCGTTCAGCACCGCGCCTCGCAAAGTAAGTCTCCTCTTCCTCACCTTTGCTCCTTGCCCCGACTCCTGCCACCCCGTTTTTGCCTTGTCTGGTTTTGTTTTATTTTCTCATGGAGGGGGGGCGCAGGGAATAGATTGGGGTGCAGCGGGGGCTGCCTGTGGGCTTGGGAAAGTGCTGCTGCTCCGAGCAGCCAGGAGTGGGGGCGGAGGGAAGCGAGGGGGAGGGGGTCCCCTGGTTCGCGGCCAAAAGTGTGGGATTGGGGAGACACCGTGCAGATCTTGGGTGCGGGGGAGCGAGTCCCGCAGCGCCCGCGGCGGCCACGGGGAGGGCGAGGACCGGGGCTCACCTGTGTGGTCCCCCGGCCTCCGCCCGCCCGTTCGCGGTTCCCTCCAAAGCCCCAGAAACCCCAGTGCTCTCCGCGTGTGGCTGCGTTGTATGGAGAAAGGTAGCTCCGGGGCCGCGCGTTCCTGCTCCTCCCCCTCTTGTCCCCCCACCCCCAGCACACACCCGGGCTCCAGCGTCCTTCCCCTCCCCGCCCTCCGTCCGCGCCCCCCGCCCCCCTTCCCTGGACCCGGCGCGCAACCGCTCGCCCTGCAGAGCAAACTTGGAGCAGCCTCTGGCCCCTCAGGGAAGAAACTTGGGGCAGTTGGGTCTGGAGGAGCATCCCATTCTCGGTCCTGGAACCCGGGAACTGCCGGAGCGTCTGGCTCCTCCGGGCGAGGGAAAAGAGCCAACCGGGTTTGGAGTCCTCCTGGGGGCACGGAGAGAACCTGCCGCAGTGCCTGGAGCAAGGATTGCAGCGTGGCTAGAGGCGGAGAGCGCCCTAGGCGACCGCCTGCAGCGTTAGGGACTCGAGCCGAGAGGGGACCGGGCACTGATCCCTGCACCCGGATCCTTGGGACCTACCTAACATTTCAGAGGGCTATCTTGGAGATAGCAGATAAGACCTGGAATTGTCATATCCATTTCTTTGGCAGATAACAGAAACACTTTACTGCTTTAAGATTTACAGCAATATATGGTGATACTACATGAAGAATGTACTAAGACATTTTTTTTAAATAACTGAGTTAAATGTAAAATGGGATTTACCCACATTCTTGTATTTTACAAAAATAAACATTTTGCACTGAATTTTTGTTAACTCAAAATTTATCTTCCCATTAATATCACCCAAGACACCTTAAATACATGGATTATATTTTCACAGGAGTCTTGTGTATGGGGGAAAGTATGAAGTGGTATTCTGATTTCATTTACCTTTAGTATCGAATTATTAAGCAAAATCAAGTGGGGCATAGGCAGTTGTTCATTATAGGTTTTTCACAGCAGTTTTGTGCTGCCCTTTTCTGAGTGTTTTAAGTATGAGTTTGAGGAACATGTTTATAAGAGAATTCCATCTGGATGATGATCTGCCTCACCCTAGGGAAGTCTTGTTTTTAGAAGAAAAAAAAATCTAGTAGCATTAACATTTCCAGAATTTTGCAAGTTAGTGGTATTGTTTAAAGAAAGAGTCCTCAAGTGATTTCCTTGGCTTGAAACATGAAGTATGCATGGTAGTTAACCTTGGGCTGTTAATAGAAACCCGGGATAAGATGTTTGATTGATTTAAACTCCCTAGAGAAACTGATTTCTCAATTTCTACAGTCAGTGAGGTTTGCTGTAGAACTATTAGGAGAAAAAAGCCTAAGGTACTATTGGTTAAGTTCAGTGAAGATATTCTATAAACAACATTTGGCCTTGCATGAGGGAGAATGCAAGTTATAAGACTTGCATTGTGAGAATAACAAAGAAAAGTAGCTGCTTAGACCACAAAACCTTGTCAGATATAAAACAACAGCATAGCTTTGGAGAAAGCTATTGTTTTCTTCACTGCAAAGTTTCTAAATTAAAACCCAATCTTGTTGCTATGGGTACAGTGATCCCCCACCCCCTTTTAACCTGTGGTTATGTCTGTACACCAATCCTCAAATCGTTAAGGGTGGAAACCTGAGTTAATCTATCCTGGCTAACAACAGGAAGATAAATAATGAGAATGGGACTATAAATGCACTTTGTTACCTTAAAAACCCTTAAAGGAAAACAGGTATTTTAGGGTATCTGGTAAAAATTGGTACTCTAGTCTGCAGGCTGCATTACAATTTTGGATTAATGGAAATGTCAGGGACAGAATCACATCTCAAAACATGAATTTCTGGAGATGTTTGAACATGTAGAACAGATGAGCATCTCTGTGCAACTATGTCTGTTAACTGCATTTGAAGAAGACAGTGAAAATTTGGGTGACTCTCAGTGGCCCACAGTCTGTGTCTTGGAATTTAGTTCTGTGACTAAAGGAGGCTTAAAACTGGCCCAATTTCAGTTATGTGGGGTAACCCAATTGTAATCTGAATTCTTAACAGCAGGGCTGTATCTTAATTTTCTTCTTGATGACATGAAACTGTAAGGTCATCATTACCCCGACGACCCCCCCAAATTTGGTTAGGGCCAGGGATTAGCTATTGGGATAGAGCAGAAAGAGACAAAAGAAATCAGGAGGGAGGCTGGTGTTAATTTGGAAGATCTCTGCAGCTTGACTATGATAAAATCACATGTGCACTTAGGATGTTTACTATATGTGGCAGCTCCTATTTGTAAATAGGGCAGGTCCTCAGTATAAAGCTGGTGTTATTATTCACACCCATAGAACAAACACCTCCACCCCCCTGTTGTTGTCTTAAAAAACTCCAGCTGCTCATGAATATAGGGTCAGGGAGGGCCGGCTAAATGTTTCTCTGTGCTTTCTCTCCAGCACAGCCAGCAGAGCTGTTTCCTGTTCTTTGTTTCAAGGCTGGGGTTTGCGTCATACATTCCAAGTGGCATATGTGTGCTCTTTCCTGTTTCAGGCTGTTTTCTGGTAGATCAGTAGCCTAGACCAGGCCATGGTCCCTGCCCCTAAACTCAGCATCCCCTCCCAGGGAGTTATCATGTCTCTACACACTTGCGATTGCTCAAGATGCCTGTGTTATGTCATAATGAGAAGTCAGTTAACCTTTTTTACATACACCCTTCGCTCCACTGTGTTTATATGGGTGAATCAATACTTTTACCTTTTTAAATTTTTCATTGCCACACTGTGATTTGAAGAAATTTGTGTGCATATTGGCAAAGAAATCTAAAGGAGGTTGTCCTGATTTGTGTTTATAATTCTGTGAAGGTGGGCCAGGTGTTTGTTTTAAGATAGGCATTTTGCCCTGAAGCTGTCAATTTTGGATCGGGATTAACACCTTACAGTAGAGAAGACCTTGTGTTATCTGGAAGATGTGACCCACCTTTGTTAACATGAACAGTAGCCCAAGGTAGGCTTTCATGAGTGAGTGGAGAATTGAAGCAGTCCTAGCATCCTGGGCTAAGTTAAGTCATGCTTATGTTTTAAAGGAGAATATTTTGGGGGAAAAATTCAAGCAAAGCATATATTGAAAAAATTCCAGGATTATTGCTTTTTAAAGAGAGAGATTAAAATACCAGGACAATTTTTGAAGGACAAAGCTTTTACTGTATTCTGGATCTGACTTCCAAACCATTTTAAGAATAAAAAGCTCAAGGGGAAAGGGAAACTAGCAATAAGAAATTCATTTAATGATAGTTTGGAAATTTTTAATCTTATATTTTTGAAAACAGAAGAAGAATGCCTCTTGTTCGTTTTTCAGTGACAAATTTTTTATAATTCCATTTTTTAAAAATATTCTGTCCGTTTTAAGTCATGAATTTCTGGGTTAATTTTTTAAAACCTACCCTAAAAAATTATTTTTCTCTTGGATCTTCAAAAACTTAATTTTAAAGAAATGGTTGGGAAGGAAAAAGCATATTTTTTAAACTCACTTTGGGATTTTCTTTGAAATCTAAAGGACAGATCTATAGTGTCCTCTAATGGAATCAATTCAAAGAGTTGCAAAAGCAGCAGATCAGGCCTGGTACTCTCAGATGTTGTTGATAATAGAACTTTGGCTTTAAATATCACATCCCATCATTCTCTTTCATATAGAAAAGGAAAGTATAAAATATTTTGATGTTTAAATTACTGGTATCAAGTAGTTGGCTACTGTTTACCTTCCTTGAGAAATGATGGGAGATTTAGAGTGTCCCAGTAAGATTTTTTTTTTCCCCCTTTCTCCTTTGGGAAAAACTACTTGAAATATTAGGCTGACTTGGAGAACAAGAGGCCTTTAAACCGAAATTCAGAAATATCCCAAACTGAAGCAAGGTTTTTGGTTTTGGGTTCTAAAGTTGTTAACCATCCAAGTAGACTTGGGTAGGCAGAATGTTGATGTGGCTTTAGCCAGGTCATTCCTTCCTCTTTGGTATGGAGAGGGGGATAATTAATAGGAATGATTAGGGAAAATGGTCTCTATCAGGAAAATCTCTGCCAGCTTTTAAAGGCTGTTCGAAATAGTAGACGGAAATTATTCTAATAGCTACTATTTTAAACAAAAACTGAATACTAATTTTATCTCAGTAGTGTAAATCATCATTCCTAATTTAATTCCATTCCGTTTCTTTATCCTGCTTTTCAGTACTTGCCTTTCTTAATTTTTCCAAATCCACATTTTTGCTGTACAGTGGCAGCTTTCACAGACAGTGTTTCTTGCTCTATTTTCACACCCAGTTGTATTTAAGAAAAATAAATAAATACAAGCAACCTCATCCTTTAAGTACTAGGAATGACATTCTTCTGGAAGTGGAGCTTCTTTCTGAACTGCTTCATTTGTCCTTGGTTTAGCTTTATTTTAAATATAATAGTAATAGTAATCTCTAGAGTCTTAGAACAGTTGATACCTGGTTTGCTAATAGGTGCTATTCTAGTGGAGGTGCCTCTTATAGTGACTTGGGAAAGGATTATGATGGTCTTTAGAATTCTCATTTTCAAGCCTGGCCTGCCCCTTTCTTAGACCCAGGCCCTGCTTCTCATCTTAAGCAGTCACACTGGAGCTTGAGACAGGAAACCAGACAGCAGTCTGCCCTGATAAGGGAGGGCATTGTCTAAA